TTTTTTTTTTTTTTTTAATTTGGACCATCTCTCGATTTATGCGTGTCATCCTTGCGCAGGGGCCATGCTAATCTTCTCTGTATCGTTCCAATTTTAACGGATGTCCCGAAGGACAGGCTCGTATGCCTTTGTAACTGATGGATAACTCTGGTTTAAACCACCAGTACATGTGGAGAATTCAAATGAGCCTCTCTGAAAAGTTAGGGGACTCAGGAGAGGGCCCACCTGGGGCCGGGCGGAATTCTGTGTTTTTCGTTCGAGGCTGGGCCTCGTGCCGACCCACGGCATGGGACTTTTTTTTTCTTCTACTGGTTCATTGGACGCCCTGTCCCGAGGCTCTGAAACTGTAGGAGAGGCTCAATCGCGATTCTAAACTTGGCTGGGGCCACATACTGGTCCCTTAATGCAGGTTACTCCAGCTGTGTAACAGGGGGTTGTAGTTGCAGGTTTAGATCCCACGTTCTGTTTTTTTTTTGTTCATGCTGGGCCTGGTGCCGACGCACGGCATGGGACATTTTTTTTTTCTACTGGTCCTTCGGATGCCCTGTCCTGAGCATCCAAAATTTTAGGAGAGGCGCAATTGCTTGGGCCACGTACTGGTCCTTTAATGCAGGTTACTCCAGCTGTGAAAGAGGGGGTTGTAATCACACGTTTAATCCAGATTAGGACCCACATCCAACTGTGGTTACCAGCTGGATCAGTCCAGGTTATTGTGGACTGTATTTTGAGGTGTAATCAGGCTCAAATGCCTTTCTAAGGGCATACTCACACAACCACTTGCCAAAATGCATCTGACTGCAATTACGCCCTGGTCTGGATGAATCTGACAGCGATCATGTCCAAATACGCTCTAACTGTGGTGCAAACTGAGGTGTAATGCAGGTCATAACCCAGCAGGGATGAGTCCACACAGTAGATGACCAGCCCAAGGCCAAGGCCATTGGCACAATTGTTTGACACAGCCCGTTGTTGTACTATGTACATGTATAGTATCATCCAGAGTCCGCAACCATGTGCTTGGCCGATGACCATTGTGGTTTCTACTTATCTGGTTCCGCCTATTCTGTCCTATTGGTGTGTGCTCAGGCTGGTAGAGCTGAATTGCGTGAAGATCCTTGGGAGCTGGCTGCTGCAAGCATTGAAGGAGGAACAAACTAGTCTCTTGCGTTCATTATTGAAGGTGCGCGATGAACTGGAAAGTTGTGGGAACAGAATGAAACCTTGCTTTTTTTATGTTCACAAGGGTTAACTTTAACGAGAGAAGGTCATTCTGTTTGACAGGAAGCAGTCTAGGCTTCCCTAGATGCATTTTACCAGAAGCACGACTGGGTTCGGTCCAGAAAGTCCTAGCGACTTGTAGACCGTCGACATGTATCCAAAGTCTAAGCTCCTAGGGTGTAGAGGCAGGACGCAATCGTGCTATGTTCGTGCTTAGAAAGCATGAACTTGGACGTATTCGTGGTCAGGTTTGTGATTTCATGTCATGAACGTAGCACCAGTGGTGCCCAACACATATTTTACACCAGGACTTCTTTACATGAATGAGAGGGTAATACACGGCAGCAGCCCCGGTGTGAAATTGTGAATATACCCCTGGTGGGTGCGCGGATATAGCAACCTCTCAGATCTCGATGTTTGACCCTGACCACGTGCCGGTGACTGTTGGATGTCTGCCCAAACACTTGTTCAAGAATGCAAATAGTGATCACAGGCTGGCTTTTGCGGTTGTTTCAAGGCCGTATATGGGGTCTACGGGGCCATAAGGACACCTGTTGTTTTTGTTTCTAAGCCACCAGTACCTCCGAAAAAGCGGATTGAGCCTCTCCTAAAAATCCGGAGGCCATGGACCGTCGATAAAATGAATCGGTGGTTCATGGCCTCCTATTCTTTTTTCGGGAGGCCCAATCTGCTTTTTCGGATGTACTGGTGGTTTAGGAATGCATATAGAGGTTGGATTTGACATTAATCTGAAGGTATTCTTTGCCTTTCCCTCAACCTAACCCCTCCCCCACAGCTCTCCCCCAACTTCCCCTGGCGCTCCCACCCCAGCCTGACGAAGAAGCAGCAATGGGGCAAGTACGTTACGTTGGAGTCACACCTGACTTTCACAATAGGCGACTTTAGCAGTTCCCGGAATGGAGCAAACAAAGGCGACCCCCCTAAATCTGCCAAGCGCCACTGCGGGTAATTACTGGCGCAGTCTTAGAACCCCCCCCAGGCTAAATTTGCACATTCCGAAACTCACATCATGACATCGGTGCCACTTTGTCTTTTCTTGCCTTGCTCAAACTAAAAGTGTGCCACAGCCACATTTTCCCCAAAAGAAATAGAGTAATTCTCAACTCTTGATCTTCGTTGCATACCACTGACCCCAACTTCTCCTTCCCCCCCCCTCTTCTTTAAAAGGGTTGATGGCATTGTTGGGATATCATGATTGAACTGACCAGCCCAACGTAGATTCATAATTTTCGTTCATCTTCTTCCGTTTGGATTCAACTTGTATTTCAGCAGTTCATGGGTGCACCAACTGGAGCTACTCACTGACCCCGAGTCTGTATGTGGCCCTTGTTTTGTTTCGTTCTGGGGGGGTGAAAATCAGGTTCTTGAAAAATTACCGGCGCAGAAGTGTCCGACTGTACAGCTACTTGCAGTGACAAAGAACGTGACTCGGCTCGGGTCATATTTTGTTCAGGGTACGTAGCTGCAATCTCCTGCAGTCTGCAGTCTCCAGGAGTTCTGTCTCACCTAAACTGTGTGTTAATCGAGTGTGATCCGTGACACTCATTTCTGTAATACTTTGAAAATGCTGACAACCGGTCTGTGTTTTTCTGCATGTTCTCCAGAGGAAAGGCTGGATCAGAAATTTTGCGTTTGTGAAAATTTTCTCATTCTCTGGGGCAATCAGAATGTCACAGTATTTGTCCTATTACCAGCCCACAGATCTTGGTGACCAAGACTTGGGGGGAGTGGGAAAGTTGAACCGTCTCTCGGCTGATTTGTTGTGGCTTCCTTTGGTCTCTGTTGTCCGCTCGATATGGTGCCCACATCATGTAATGTTTTTGCAGCTTTTACTGTTTCGGCATACTCTCGCATGAGGGTGCTCACTTGCTTCATTAGATGTGAAATCTCTCTCCCCCTCCCTCCCTCCCTCTCTCTCTCTTTCCCATTTTCTCTCTGCCCCCCTCCCCCCTCCGCCCCCACCCGCAATTGTCCCCTCTTTCTCTTTCTCTCCGTCGCCCTCTCTGTCTCCCAGTCTCTCTCTTGCTCGCTCCCTTTCTCTCCTTGAGCCCTCCATCTCTGTCTCCTTCATCCATGTGCTGCTTGCAAATGCTTTTCGCGGGTGTTTGGCATAGTAGAGCTCTCCCCACTCGCACAGACTTGCACACACGTCTCCCCCTCTCCCCACACAAACGTCTCTTTCTCTTTTCGCACAGACTTGTTGATTAGTCTCACGTCCAAGTTCACATACTTCTTTCTCACCCATGCATTTGAGTCGCATTTATGTTGATGTATCCAGAATCGGAAACCTATGTCCCATGTATTTCTCCTTTCTCACACATGATCAAATCCGAGCAAACTAGTGAAATAAACTGCCTGCCTGCCTGTCTCTCTCTCACTCTTGCCGTGTAGAAATACGGCTTTTTTTATCGACAAATGTGTTCTCGCCAAGCAATATCTGTTTTTGCACTGACATATTGTACTTATCTTTGTCTTTCGGTTTGCAGACATTGGAGCAATGGCCAAGTTCCTTATCAGTCGGTGGAAAAAGATGTCCTTGCTGGAGAAGGTGGTTGTAGAAGAGAAAAAGATTGCTGGCGCCTCCGCAGTTTGGGGAAAGTGCGCACCACAGGCAGGCACGTTTTCATGGCTCACCAGCGTTGTTATCTCATTTCTTTCCCTTTGTGTTTTCCCATTTACGGCTGTTTGCTATTTTGGGAAGTAGTTGTTACGGGAGGGAGCATCCAACAGTCTATTGCTTGGGAGCCTTAACGACTGTTTGCTATTTTGGGAAGGAAGCATTTCTTATGGGAGGGAGCATCCAATGGTCTATTGGTTGAGCCTAACATGGACATCATTACGAGGGACACAGTCTTGCTCACCTGAGTCACCTCCTACAGGCATAGCCCTCTCCCCTGTGCTTGAGCATTCCAGCCAGGAAAGATCCTGGTCAGCTCTTTGACTACATGCGTTCCCGATATGAGGGACACACATTTGCTCTCCTCCTGCGGGCATGCTTCTCTCCCTTTGTGATCAAGAGTTTCTGCGAAGAACAAATCCTGTTGAAATTTGAATCTGTAATTTGTCTTTTGGCCCCACACTCTAGTCCTTTTCGTCCCTGTATTTTCTTTTTGCTTCTCTATTCAACATTCTTCCCTCAACGACATGCTCCTCATGGGATCGTCACAGTTTGCTCCAGCTTTCTAAAAGGGATGATCATGGTCTCATCCTGGCTAGTGGTGGGTGTATGCTCGTTTCGTGTTGTGGAAGTTCCCCCCCTCCTCGTCCTCCTTGCTCCCATTATGCTCTCACATGCTCCGCATTGCTGGTCTTCCAGCCTTTGTTGACTAATGACTGCTTGTTCAGCGCCCCCGCCATTCAACTACCGTCTTCACCCGAATAGAACGCCTGGTCATTAGAGCCGTATTTGGGCCAACTTCCAGTCCAGATGCAGCCGGAGAGACGTTCTATTTGGGTGAAGACAGTAGTAGTTGGCTTGTGATTGCAAGTTAGCTTTCTGAGAGTATAGTCACACTAGGCCCTCAAAATTACAAAATCGCAAAATGAGCGGCCAGATCGAGTCCTTTGTTTACAAGAACTCGATCTGGCCATTCATTTTGCGATTTTGCGATTTTGGGGGCCTAGTGTGAGTATGCCCTGGGTCTGAGCAGACTAGTGCGAGGATGTGGCTCCTCGGCAGGCCTAAGGGGCCCCTTATGCAAGTGTGCCCGCCCTAAGTGAAGGCGGCCCTAACAAATCACGAGAGGCCGAATGCTGTCAATTTCGTATTCGGGGTTCAGGCAGTTGTGTCGCGTCAGTTGGTTGAGGGAACCCAGGACCCAAGCAGCAAATACTCTCCACGGCCTTCTAGGCCTTTTCTGAAATGCAGGCCCTGGGCCACATTCGCAGCAACATACACAGACAGTTGGGAGGCGTAACTGAACGAGGCCCAGCAGCAGCAGCAGAGGCCCAGCTACCTGGGGCCTGCCGGAAGCTTCTGGGCGCAGGCCCAGCCCAGCCCAGCCAGGCTGCAGGCCAGGCCAGACTCTTTCCATATAGGAAAGAGTTCGCTGCCTGGCATGTCATGCGGGCACTTGCCAGTTTGCAGCAGCGCTGCTGGAGCGATTGCTCGCGTGCTGCTGCTAGCGCTGGGGCAAGGTGCTGTGCACGTGCGGTCGTGTGGGAAGAAGGGCCCAGCTGAGGGCGGCGCCATAGCCAAGCTTCCATAGCTGGCTGGGCTTGGACATACAGCAAGGCGCAGTGGTGGTCTTCGGGTGTATAGAGTGAAGACAAGGGAGAAAGACGAGGGAGAGAGAGAGAGAGAGAGAGATGAGGATGATGATGTGAGGGCTCTGATGTTGGTGATGACGAGAGTAAGCTCTCATTGACATTCGGTTCCAGTGCTTTGATTCTCCAATGGTGTAACATTGGTGCAATACTGCTTTCTGGACACTGTGAGACTTTCTGGCTTTCAATGTGATCGTGTAATCTGGATTCGGTCATCTTGCTATTGATCATTTTCCTTGCACTAGAAGCAAGCATGTGTAGAAGCAACACAAAATTGCGGAAGCGAGATTAACCAATCAAAATGATTGAGCGCTCTACCTCTTGCAAATGGTTAACACGTCTTCGGATGATGGCGCACTCAAGGCAAGTTGGTGTTCACAGGTTCTGTTTGTCCGTGTTCTAGCTCGCTGGAGGCCGCCATTCACATGGTGTGCCCTTCTCATCCCCTTGAATCCTTTTCCGTCCACCCGAATTGCTGGATACCCTGTTCTACAAGTCCTCCTCCCCCCCTTGACCTCATCTCTCGCTCTCTCTGTAACTGACTGCCTGATAATGATGTTGTGCTGTCACATATTTCTTCGGGTAGGGTGGAGCTGTAAAGAAGCAAATGGCTGGTGCAACTGGTATAGCAGCCAGGAAAGCAGCAGGGTCTCCGATATTGGCTGGTCTGAAGAAATTGCCGATTGCTTACTCTCTGCTAACGATGTTCCGCTGTCACATGTCCCTTGGCGTATGGTGCAGCTATAAAGAAACAAATGGCTGGTGAAACTGGTATAGCAGCTAGGAAAGCAGCAGCAGGGTTTTCGGAATTGGCTGGTCTGAAGAAATCTCCAACCACTGATGCCATGAATCTAACGAAAGCTGGCGGTCTTTCTCAGAAACGGTCAGTTGTCTTTGTCTGTCAAGTCTTAACTTCTTGATGTGAAATCCCACGCATGCAAATTTGTGAGTGCGGAAGGCCTCGTCTCCCTCGTCCATTATTGACTGCTGATGAATATCTCCTCTGGCAGTAGGTAGGTGGCGATGGATGTGGTGTATTGAATTCGATCCGTAATCGATAACGGGTAACCAGTCCTTCGGGACATCCTTGAAAATTGGAACGGTCAAGAGAATGGAGATTAGCATGGCCCCTGCGCAAGGATAGACTCACATAAATCGAAAGAAAGGAAAAAATGGAAGGAAAGAAAAGAGAGAGGGAAACAGTATAACTGTGAACTAATATAAGTTGGTAACCAATCATGCATTTTTTAATATGGTTGTGGATGACGATAATGGGTTGATGACATGTGGAATCTGTAGTAGATGATAAATACATATGAAAGGTAGGAAGATTCTCACGCACGGCTGGGGTACCTGGGAGTGTGATGCTCTTTTTTTTTTTTTTTTTTTTTTTTTTTGGTTTTYTGCGCTCTCCCGGAGGACCCCAAATCCGGGCTCATTTCTTTTAAGGAGGGGGGGGGGGAAGGGGGTCATAAATTGGTTTTAAAGTGAAACGGTTTTCACCTTTGCAGTAGCAGATGCAGATCCCAGGGCTCGATCCCGAGACCCTGCCCTCACCCGTGTACAGTATCAAGTTGACCCCTGTGTGTTTGAACCCGTGACCTGTGTGTTAGTAGTTGAAAGCTATCTGTCTAGGTCTGAGTAGTTGTCGGGTTTCAATCCGTAGGTCTGTCAAGTAGGGGTCGTAGCTGTGTAGGAGTCATAGCTGCTACAGTCCTGAAAGGTCGAGGTCGTAGCTGCTACAGTCCCGAAAGCCCAAGTCTACAGTCTTCCGGCAGGTCTGGAAGTGACCTTTCGAGAATTGTTCACGTTAGACCAGAGGCAAGTGGGCAAGTGGGTAGTCCAACTTTGCCTAGTCAGCGGTACCCACTCCCGGTCTCACTTTGTCAAGTCAGCAAGTACAATGTGGGACTGTGTGCACCCTGGGCCCGGTGGTGGAAAGGAGCAGACCAGCGACCAACAGAAGTATAACCAAGAGGCAGCATCCAGTTCTGGATTCATTCAGACTGTGAGCCGTGCGGAAGCGCTGCCAGAGCGACTTGTGCAAGGAGGTCTGCAGGCGCCCGAGGGAGACCGGGGCTGTGAGGGAGACGAAGCGGCCATAGCCGCTAGTAGTGGTAGAAGTAGCGAGCAGCCATAGCTGCGCTAGGTTAGAGAGAGGTTACAGCGTGTTTGTGTATGAGTGTGCAGTGAGTTGTGAGCGTGCGTGGGACATCCAGGGAGATCCAGAGTAGCGTGCGTGTGAACTGTTGCCGAGCATACAACATGGAAGGGTGTTGTGAGGGCGCACAGGCGCCATAGCCATTTTGAAGCAAGTTGAATCTGAACTGTGTTCTCGGCCAAGATTTCTCTGAGTTTGGAGTGGGCGCTTGTCGCCAGTGGGATAGTCATCCGTTTCCATGCATGTTGAGGAAGAAAGAAGACGAGTCTGATTGCAAAAGGTGCTAAAGGGGTTTAAAGTGGGGTGCCTGAGTGTGATTCTGTTATTTTCTTTTTCATGTCCGATTCTGTGACTAATTCTAATGTGACCCTCAGACAAAAGTCGTTTGTATTGCAATTCTACACGACAACTTTTTTTTTCGGAATTTTTTGAATTTATTATTATTTGTTTTCTTGGCGGTGGGGCTGCCTGCAACCCTGCCCGGGGGTCATGCCCGGCAGGGCACCCAGGCGTGTACCCGGGTGTGTACCCGGGCATGAGTTGGGTGTCCGGGCGCCTGGAAAAACAGCCTAGTAGGAAAGTGAATAACGAAAACAAAAGGTGGTGTCCCGCCTGAAGTATCGTCTTCATGACTCTCCCACAAGGAAAAACAAATCAAAAAATTATGAAGGGTGTCTCGTTCCTGTTTCCTAACATTCCCTGGAACCCGCTGGCTCCCATGTTGCACCTCTTTTGCCAACACCCTCTCGGCCTTTGCCTCTCCTCCCAACGCCTTCGCCTCCGTCATTTGCTATTGATCTTCGTCCAGGTCCCCAACTCATAATTCGTCCCTCACTCCATCGCCTTCTTCATGAAGCTGCTTCGGGTAACTGGTGTCGTGTCAAGGCTGACATTGAGCGGGCACAACCAGCGTGGCGGACACGACTTTTGCAATGGCTTTATAACAATGTTTCCAATGCGGACATGACAGCAGACATTCGAGAACTCGAATGCCTCATCCGAAAATCCTAGCATACCCGCCAACGTTACATAGCACAACCACGTGACCCGTTTACTGACCATATTAAGATCGTACATGTGCATTGCACCCTGACCCGCAAGCGGCCGCACATGTTCGTGTATGTGACAAGTTGATGCCACCTACACGTGTCCAATTTTGCAACTTTACTGATGTGGCATTGAGTGTTGCTCCTGACATGACCTTACCAGACTCCKTGAACTGCGAATGCCGCAGGGCCTTTYCGCATTGTTCAGATCTTGTGGACGGTCATGTTGTCTMTGTTGATTACAATATCATCTCAGACGATAACCTTCGCAAGCTTTTTCAAGAAGGTTCTAAATATCGTTTGAACGGGGAGACTGCTGATGTGCTCCAAGCACTGGCGATCGGACTCGATGAGTACATTGCCAGTTACAAGAATACATTTGTCAGACACTCTCGATCTGCTTCTTTCTCGTCCCTTTCTCAGAAATTGCACAGCTGGCGTTCTGCAATCCTTGGGCATTGTCAATCCAATGCGACTTCGTCTTCCAATCATGTGAGCCAACAACATTCACTTCGTTGTGCACATGCCTCCTTACGCCATCTGCAACAACAATTTGYCATTGTTCCTGTGGACAAATCATCCCACAATTTGGCAATTTGTTGCAAGAATTGGTATTTGTTTCACCTCTCTACCCATTTGGACAGTCCCACTTATACTCGTCCTC